TCTTACATTTATGGTCGTCGCTTGCAAAATGAAAATTTAAAAACAATTTTTGTTTAGATTACGCTAAGCTTAGAGTTTTTATTATGAAAATAGAGAAAGAAAATGTAAAATCATTTATTCTCCCAAGAGAATAATAAAAACATGACGTACGTTTCAAAATATTTAATATATTTAATTTTGATTAAAACATCAATTCCAACAAAACGGAATAAATTTACTAATTTTTAAAGGAATGAAATTTTTCATTGTATGAAGAGAGGAATTGTCACTAATTATAGTGTAGATAAAGCGACAGAAAAAACGTTGATTGAATTGATGTTAATACTTACATTTTTTGTTCAACAGTTATTAAACGTTGGTAGCAGAGTTTCCCACCTCAAGAATAACAAGATTTGAGCAGCAGTAATGTTAATTACCAAAGTAGATGAGTGATGCAACGCATGAAATAAAAAAAAAAAATTATTGAGTTATTACATAAAAGAAAAAACAATAAGATAGAAAGTGTATACACTCGAGCATTCATTCTACAAGCCATAGAAGAACAATATTTAGTTATGTGGACGTATGTGTTGTACTTGTGTGGATTGGGCTGTATAGAAACAGCAAGTTACGAATCTATTGTAACATCATACTTTCTGAAAAGAATATTTTTATATTCTTTCATGCATAAAACAATACGGTTGCGTTTAAAAAGTATACCACAAATGAAAATTACGTAGTAAAAAGAAGACAAGTAGGATAAAAACATTTACAGTGCTGATGATGTCACTATTTTCTCTACAAAACCATACCTTTTCTGAGCTTGAATAGTACAAAGGACATATGCGTCAATATTTTTACTGCCCCTGACGGTCCAACTAGTCCCCTGATGTACTCTTTTATCAACTACTTGGTTCTCTATACGTATAGAACTACGTACATAGTAACATAGTATAGTTATAAACGGCCACATTTTGACGGTCATCAATGGCAATAGCTTTTGAACCATAGAAATGAGTTAATCATATGCCATATTGCAGTAAATACATTGTCAAGAATGATACATTCCGACTGTGCGCCGAACCCATTGTCTATGCTGATAGCTCACAGTCACATGCTTATCACTGTTGCTTATAACCTAAATCAGTAAAAAATCTCCCGATTTGAGTTGATACGTCTGAGTACTTGCTTACATACTGCAAGCGCTCAGTATTGTTTTAAAATTAAATTACGGCCTATAACTCATTGATTATTTAATTTTGAGGCATGTACTGTTCAATTCATTTTTTATTGATAACTGCAATTGCATTTACCATTCACTATAACATACTTATGTAATCTTACCATCTTGTGCTATAAGACGCACATAAGCATCTGCTTTACGAAGTAAATCATATTAAAGCAGTAGTTAAGGTGGAGCTAAAAAAAGTCTGTGGGTATTTAATGGGTACCAGCCAAACTGTCATTAATGCCATGGTTTTGACTTGTGCGTAATATGTGAAGTGATACGCACTTGCTATGTAAAGCTCAAATTTTTTTCCCCAGTATGTCTTAAAGATGTTATGATGAGTCGCAAGACTATTGAACTGCAATAGTTCGCATAAACTTTAAATGATTATCATAAGGTATAAAGAAAATTTATTTTCAGACAATAATTAGCGCTGTAACGTGTCGCACATGATATAAGGCAATAGCTCATGCTAGTTTGATATTTAATATAATAAAAGATAGAGTAAAACAAAGTATTAAGCAAAGTTACATTTTAAGTTGTGTTTATTATTATTGTGCACATAATTCGAGAACGTATCACATTGCATATGCTCACTATTTTTATGATACAACTCACAATTACACTTGCAGATAAAGAGAAATGTATTGTTAATGATTAGTAAGATATTATTCAAAGTGACTCATGCGCTCTTCTTAAAAAGAGTGCGTGTTTAAGTGAGATTTTTTTGGTATAGCACATACTATTAAAGATGGCTCCAAGAGGTAGTTTGATGTGTCTAACTTATGACTGGCCTTTTACATTATGTGGTTCATCTCCGCATCATAAACCTCGTAAATAAGACTGTCAGTATCTATGTATAAAAGCTTTGCTATACCTCCCATACAATTTTTCATGTACTTGTGAAGAAAAACAACACTCAAGAAATTTGGAAAGGTCTCATATGTATAGTTTATTTTTTGTATTTAAGGTTCTGACCTCCTGAGAGGTATGAACGGTGTATTTGTTCAAAAATTAAGAGTACATTTACATATAAATTAACATATCACAAGCATTACAATTTGGACTAGTGGTGTCGCTTACTATGTAGGTACGCGCGATTTACAAGAATAGCATTATCAGTATCTGTCAAATAGACAACGTATATGTATCGCTTAAAGTAACATTGACTTTTAAGATATATATATTTTTTTCTATACATATATAATTTATAAAACAGCGATAATTGCAAAAAAAATTTAATGAAAAAACTTACATTTCACTCCCAAAAAGTACTGTAGGCCTCTTCTGTCGTTGATATCACACGACAGCTGATGTTATACTATGAAGCACAAGTGGCCCAGCACTCCACTTCTCCTCCCTCTTGTACTTGGCAGTTCTCTCTTACAGTTTCGCCAATATGACCACTGTCACAACCGTTCTTTGGCACAACCGTACCCAGTCTCCCTCTACTCCGATCTAGTCTAACCACGTGTCAATAGAAGGAAACTTAAGTGCGGAAATTTTGAAAACTACTTCTTTATACAAAATTATTTATAGTTCACGTGGAAAATTTGAGTTTCGCATCAAAAATTTATTTTAATGTTCACACGCAAATTTTAAATTGATTCTGGTTTTGTAATTCTTTTTTTTTTTTATTAGAATGACTAAAAATACTAGCTATGGATGGTTTCGTTAGTAATCTAAGTAAATAGAATTAACTTAAGTAACGACTGAACAAAGAAAATTTCTTATTGTATAAACCAAGATAAAAAGATCACTATAATTGTCAAGCATGCTCGTTTATTAAATCTACCCCTTTTACAAATAATTAGGAGTCTTTATTTTACTTCAAATTAAAAAATTAGTCAATTGAAAATTTTTATTTTAGTTAAGTAAAAATTTTATCTAATAGTTGATTTGCTGTAAGTTGAAGAATTCGTGAGA